GTGAGGATTAACCAAAAGGAAAAAAGTACAAATAGGTTCTAGTGAAGCTTTTCAGAGATGTCTTTTCTGCATCTATAGGCTCTGAGATCCTTTAGGGTTAACTCACCTGGTGTAGTTTAAAGTATTTCTCTTGCCCTGTCCAGTGTGGCTCAGTTGGATGGAGCATTGTCCCATGCACTGAAAAGTCATGGGTTCAGTTACTGGTTAGGGCACATGCTTAGGTTACGGGTTTGATCCCCGGTCGGGGCGCATATGGGAGGCAGCCCATCAGTGTAGCTCTCTCACATGGATGTTTCTCTTGTCTCCCTCTCCCTTCTTCCCTCTCTAAAATAATAAATAAACGAATCAAGTATTTCTCTTATTGACTGCTTATCATGAAAATACGAGCTTCCACCCAGCAACCTGGGTCTGCTTCCACTCGTTTGAACAGTTCTTTAGACCACTGACCTGTTTCTTCTTGGCCAGGGTGAAGACCCTTTCACCAATGAAGCCGTTGATCCAGAAATCGAAGGAGTTGACAATTTAGGGGGTGATGATAAGGAAGAGACACCTGAGGAGGTGGCCGAAGAAGTGTTAGCTGAGGTGATTACAGCAGCAGTGAAGGCAGTAGAGGGGGAAGGAGTGCCCACTCCAAAAAGTATTGAAACACTGGCTGAAGGGGAAAGCCCCGTGGACACTGCAGAGGCTACCAGTGGTCCCCATCCTGAACAGCCGCTGGAAGCAGACACACACTGTGGAATGGCATCCGGGAAGGGGAACGCTGAAGCAGAGGCCGCAAGTGAGGAGGCCCAGGCTGGAAATAAGGCTGCAGAGGCTGAAGGCGAAGCAGAGGCAGAAGGCACTGTAACCATCACTGTTCCGGCCCCAGCTGCCACAGAAGCTGAAGTGGAACAAACTGATGCAGAGTCCAAAGACGTTACTCCCACAGAGTGATCCTCCTCTCCCTGTTTCAAGGGATGTGTTATATGATGCGTTGATCTTTCTTCTTTGATTTGTAAGTAGTACTAGGGTGTGTGTTACTGGAATATGCTGAAAACATTTTGGTGAAGAGACCCAGCTATTTCCTTCAGAAAAACGTACCTCATGGGCTTGTCTTAGAGCTGTGTGGCTTTCCGCCTTGGTTTGGAAGCTACAGAAGTACATTCCCCCAAGCAGCTGTGACCTTCCTATACTGCAGTTGGAATAATAAGAGTTGGGCAATTAGATTTTGATACTTTGCTTGTTAAGAATGCCCTTCCTTTATTATTATTTTGTCTGGGAGCAGCTCATTATTACTAGGATATATCTTACTTTTTTTAAGTTTAAAAATTTGCTTTGGCTTTAGTTTTGACCTCTGTGTTTATAGCTCACTGAATGGGGCATGATTCTCACAAGATGTAGCAGAATCTTGTTAATGTGATGCTGGTCCTGTCACATCAGTGAACTCTGACAACTGCACCACTGGAAGCACACCCAGTGGCCCCTTAAGACAGGACACTTTGCCTAGGGCATTGTTTCCCAATCTTTAATCCTTGGAGAATTACCTTCAGAATTGATCTCATGTGTTCCACCTCTGCATTACTTCAGGGTTTTTTCTTTCAATCAAGTTACTTCCTCTTAAATATATTTAAAAAGAAAACTTGATGTCCCTCCCATGAATGGAAAACCAATATAAATTGCCACAGATAAGATGCTATCTGTAAAAAATGAATAAAATAAAGTAAACATTTCATTTTAAATACTCTTCCTTTGGAGGTTCCCGAGTCTGAGAAAGGAAAGGCAGCATGTGTTAAAGTGTAGCAAGCACTGGTTACATGTTCATATAACCAAAAGAATTGGAAGAGACCTACCTTTGAAATGATATTGCTGGGTCTACGTCCCTGTAAACTTTTGAACTGTCACATTTGAGGACACATTGGCCAGTGGGAAATTATTTTAAAAGGTAATAAAAATATTTGATGAGCATCTACTGTGTACCAGGTGCTAATTCATGATAAAAATAAGATATGAGCACTGCTCTCAAGGAGCCTTACTAGAGATGTGAGATGAATATTTATGAAAAAGTCTATATTAGAACTTAATAAACTGTTCAGTAAGCAAGAAAATGGTGCCTCTGAATTGTCTCTGCTCATTTCTTACTGCACAGATTCAACTTACTGCTCATTATTTCTTAGTCACAGGTTCAACAAGGCCTTGGAAGCTTATCCTCTTGAGGCAAAAATTGTTGGTGACGTTGAAAATTAATAGTCTGGCCCTAACTGGTTTGGCTCAGTGGATAGAGCATCGGCCTGAGGACTCAAGGGTCCTGGGTTCAATTTCGGTCAAGGGCATGTACCTTGGTTGTGGGCACATACCTAGTGGGGAGTGTGCAGAAGGCGACTGATCAATGTTTCTCATTAACGTTTCTATAACTCTCTATCCCTCTCCTTTCCTCTCTGTAAAAAATAAAATATATTTTTTAAAAAAAATAGTCTGAAAAAGGATAATAAAACTATGAAATTGCTTTGTTTTGTTTTTGTAAAAGTAATCCAAGACCTGTCATAAAATATATCTCAATTTCAGTGAGGTTCTTCTACCCCCCACCCTGTATGAAATAACATCAATCTTTATTGATTTCAGAGAGGAAGGGAGATGGGGCAAGAGATATAGAAACATCAATGATGAGAGAGAATCATTGATTGGCTGTCTCCTACAAACATGCCCCCTACTGGGGATTGAGCCCACAACCTGGGCATGTGCCATGACCAAGAATCGAACCGAGACCTGGTTCATAGGTTGAAGCTCAACCACAGCCATGGTGACCAGGTGATTTTTTTTTTTGGAGGGAGAGAGAGAGACATCAATTGGTTGCCTCCTGCATGCCCCTGACGGGCCCAGGATGGGACCTGCAACCAAGCTACTGCCCTTGACCAGGAATTGATGCTCTAATCACTGAATCAAACCAGCCAGGGCCAGTCAGTCATTTTATTCCTAAAAGTGGGTTGAACCAGGCTATCATTCTCCATGATGGGGAGTAATGACTTGGGTTGCACAAAGGAATGCCTTTATATTTCCTGAGATGACAGGAACAACTTGCAAGCTTCCTCATTGGGAACTAATATTTACATTATTTCTGAGGTTAGGGTCACATGTTGATGTGGGGATGCCCAAATTAACACACAGGTCTGTGACATAAGAATGGCCAATAAAGGGGACCTTTCTTTAAAAACAGGTTTAGTAAACATGACAGTCCCTGCTATCTAAGCAAAAAATATTTTAGGAATGGCAACCTAATTATAATTTCATGCAATCATGTTGTTGGCCTGTATGATTTCATTGGGTTTTTATGAAGTTAACACAGTTGCTAAAGGGGAAATAATACAATGTAACGAGCAAAGTGCCCATTCAAGAGTACATATCATTAGTATTAAGTCCAAAATTAGATTTTGGACCATAAATTTCCACTGCCTGATAACCTGGCATGGTCTTTGTTCACCAGAAGTGTGGACAGTAGTGATTACACAGGTACAGTAGAGTTCAAGTAGAATTTTAGAACTGACAAAAGTAGAGTAGAAGAGCCTTTTAACGTTTCACTTTATTACAGGAGCTTGCTTGGGGGGCTCAATAAATAGATGAGCATGGAAAAAAAACCATGGGTGTGGCTTTGCACTGATTTAACACTGACGGCTCTGGTAATTGAGAAGTTTTGGGCCACTTTCCTGTATCTTATACAAGGACACTGAAGCCTATCAAAGTAGTTGTGTTTTTGCAATCAGACTTAATAGTCTCTGTACCTTCTCTCAAAACACTATCTGATGGGTGCATACTTTATATAGATAAGAACTTAGAATTTAGTTTTGTGAGCAATATGAAGGGATAGGAGGCAGTAAATCCATTCTCACAGGGTTGGCAATCAGAATTAGTGAAATGATAAACACTTCGAAGTATTGAAAAAGTGGTTCGACAAGTACAACATCTTTTTTTTAGATATAAAATTCACAGATGAGCCATTAACCGTTTTAAAGTGGATGATGCAGTGGCATTTGGTACACTCACAATGCTGTTAACCCACCACCTATAACAGGTCCAAGACATTTTCCTCCCCTAAAAGGAAACCCTTACCCATTAGTAGTCATGCCTCATCCCCCTCCCCCATTCCCTGACAACTGTTTTCTGTCTCGATTTATTCTGGATATTTCATATAAAGGGAAAAATAACACATGACTTTTTCAGTCTGGCTTTCACTAAGCATGTTTTTGAGGTTCCTCCATGTTGTAGCTTGTATCAGTACTTCATTTCTTTTTATGGCTGAATAATATCCCATTGTACGTATATACTACATTTGTTTATCCAGTCATCCAATAATGAACATTTGAGTAGTTTCCACCTTTTGACCATTGTGAATAGTGTTGCTAGGAACATTCTTGGACAAATATTGGTAATTGTTTTCAATTCTTCTGAGCAAATCCCTAGGAGTGGAATTATTGGTTCAAATGCTAATTCTCTGTTTAAACGTTTGAGGAACCACCAAATTTTTCCACAACAGCTGCCCATTTTACATTCCCATCAGCAATGTACAAGGGTTCCAGTTTCTCCACTTGTTTACTGATACTTATTCCCCCCCCCCCTTTTTTTTTATTCTGGCCATGCTAGTAGGTGTGAAGTGGTAGCTCACTGTAGTTTTAATCTGCATTTCCTTAACTAATGATGGGCATCCCTTCATGTGCTTGTTGGCCATTTGCTTATCTTTGGAGAAATGCAACACAATTTTGTTTCTAATCATGCCCAATTTTTCTTTTGTTACTTGTACATTTGGTGTCATATGTAAGAAATTATTGCCAAATACACGGTCATGAAGATTTACCCCTACATTTTCTTCTAAGAGTTTTATAGTTTTTAACTCTTATATTTAGGTCTATGATCCATTTTGAATTAATTTTTGTATATGTTATGAGATAAGGATCCAGTTTTATTCTATTCCAGGTGGATCTCCAATTGTTCCAGAAGCATTTGTTGAAGAAACTATTATCTACCCGTTGAATGGTCGTGGCACCCTTGTCAACAAGTCATGGCTTTATTTCTGGACTCTCAATTTGACTCTATTGTTCTATGTATTCTGTCCTTATGCCAATACCACACTGTAGCTTTGTAGTAAGATTTGGAATTGGGATGTGTGAATCCCCCAACTTTGTTCCTCTTCTTAAGATTATCTTGGTTATTCTGGGTCCCTTCAGTTCCTACAGAGAAGCAAGCTGGTAATTCAGGTAGCAATTATGTCAAATCTATAGATCATTTTGGGTACTGCCATCCAGTTCATGAATGCAGATGTCTTTCCACTTATTTAGGTCTTCTGTAACATCTAACATCTTTAAGCAGTGTTTTTGTAGTTTTCAGATGAAACTTCTGTAGTTATGTTAAATTTATTCATAAGTATTTTATTTTTTTTAAATCCTCACCTGAGAATATTTTCCCATTGATTTTTAGAGAGAGTGGAAGAGAGAGGGAAAGACAGAGAAACATTGATGTGAGAGAAGCACATTGATTGGTTGCCTTTTGCACACGCCCTGACCAGGGCCCAGGCTGGGGAGGAGCCTGCAACTGAGGTACGTGCCCTTGATTGGAATTGAACCCAGGACCCTTCAGTCTGCAGGCTAATGCTCTATCCACTGAGCAAAACCGACTAGGGCAGTATTTTATTCTTTTTATGCTATTGTAAATGGAATTGTTTTCTTTATGTTTTATTTTTATTGACTTCAGAGAGGAAGGGAGAGGGAGAGATAGAAATATCAATGATGAGAGAGAATCATTGACTGGCTGCCTCCTGTACACCCTACACTGGGGATCAAGCCCGAAACCCAGGCATATGGCCTGACAGGGAATTTGAACCGTGACCTGGTTCATAGGTCAATGCTCAACCACTGAGCCACGCTGGCCAGGCCTAGAATAGTTTTCTTATTTCCATTTTTGTATTATTCATTGCTAGTGTATAGAAATACAGCTGATTTTGTTGTTTTCATTTTATTCCATCACCAGAAAATACAGCTGATTTTTTTGATTCTGTATCCTGCTATTTCGCTGAATTTGTTTAATAGCTTTGATTTTGGTGGATTCTTTTTTTAAAAAATATATTTTTTTATTGATTTCAGAGAAGAAGGGGGAGGGAGAGAGAGAAATATCAATGATGAGAGAGAATCACTGGTCGGCGGCATCCTGCACGCCTGCCTTGGGGATCGAGGCCGCAACCTAGACATGTGCCCTGGACCGGAATCAAACCCAGGACCCTTCAGTCTGCAGGTCAACACTCTATCTACTGAGCCAAACAGGCCAGGGCTGGTGGATTCTTTAAGATTTCCCAAATACCAGATCATGTCATCTATGAATAATGACTGTTTTTACTCTTCCTTTCCTACCTGAATGCCTTTCATATCTTTTTCTTGCCTGATTGCTCTGAATGGAACTTCCAATACAATGTTGGAATACTTGTAACATTTCTTTTTTAAGTTATTTATATTCTCAGTAATATTTCTCCTAACTGTAAATTCCATTAAGTTTACATGGAAGGACAAATATTCTAATTCCAGCCAATCCACTTGAGCTGGATTCTTTGAATAAAGAACATAAAGTAGATACAATCTCCTTTTGAGATCTAAATTATGAGTCACAGGTCAAGTTGTGTATTTAGTGCCTGTAAGGCCCAGGCACTGTGGGCACATGTATCACATCTTTGCTTAGTAACCTGTCCAAAGATACCCACTCAGGACAAATCCTCAGCTTCCCCATGGGAAATGCCTGGGGATTTTGGCTTCTCAGATGCTCACAATGATTTGGGAACATCTCTCTAAATAAATAGAAGTGAAGATAAAAAACACAAATGCATCACAAATTTCCCTTATTTTGTTGCCATAAAATTCTGTGAAAGAATTTCTCTTTGGAGATAACCCCAAGGGCCAATGACTAACCTGAGTAACAATGTGTAAATTGTTTTCTGCAATGGTTCCCATAAGGAAAACTATAGCCTCCTTACAGAGACTTAAGTCCCTAATTTCTTTCCATTGGAGGACAATGCAAATGACAATACTGATCCGTCTCAAATGAACTAAGACCACAATAACTTCCCCCAGTGTTT